CGGTATCGGATTGCCCCATTTTGGTCAGGTGCATGTATTTTGATTCCCAATGAAAATCTAGATCAAGATTACTCCGATTAGTTCGAAAACCGATGAAAACACTGATCAAGACACTTGAATTTGGCAACCTCAATTACAATACAATCAATTATTCACTACCGTACTTGGAAAAGTTATTCACAACGTGAAAATTACAATTCTGGAAAGTTCCCTCGTGAAACGCAGCATTAAATAAAGAACTATTCCCGAAATAAAAAATATCAAACAAGCAAAACAACGTATTTGATTCCCCGTACCTTTTATCGTGAGCATCAAGTAGATTCAACGCCTCGTCGCCAGTTGTCTCCCAAATGACGCTTCAGAGCACACACTATCCCGCACGCAGTTCTGGGTGGATACCTTTCCCCTGAATCTTTGGCGACTTCCCTAACAAAGGCTTCGTGAGCCAGTAGTTAAGAGATATGGCATCCATATCCTCTATTTCACAACTAACACGATTAACCTTGTGTAATTCATAACCTTTGAAAAGACCACCGGAATCTAAAATCGGCACTTTCAACTCCCTTTGCTGCTGCCATTCCCGAAATATTTTTAAAGCCCATTTGTTTTTGTATTTTGTAGAAGATGGAACAGCTTCATTGGCCAGGACTTGTTCCTCAGCTACACTTTTCGGCAAAAGTAAACGACTCGGTCTTCCTTTCTCCTTCTAAGCCATAACCATCAAATACAATGAAACACAGCTAACATGCGACAGACGGCTTTCAAAATACAGGCAGAGACTTGCATGAGCTATTTACCATTCACGCAGGAAATACATTATTTTTGCATGCTTTATTGCATTGTATTTTTAAGGCGTGATTGAGAAGTCATGTCAAAAGCTCGTGCTTCGTGTTTCATCAGGGGTTCCAGACAACTCGAAACAATAAAAGCACTCGGCCTGCGGCCTCGTGCTTTCATCTGTTTCTCGGCGTTTGGAACCCTTGCTGAAACACTCGCACTCGTTTTTCACATATTACTTCATAAATCAAGTCAGGACTATGGCATGAGTACGCGTGGGTGGAATAGCCTTACGTTTTCTGATTCCGGCAAAGCATGCGGACTGAAAGTTCGAACTAAAAAGAAATTACCATCTTGCAAAAATATCTCACCCTTTCACTTGTCAACAGAATTTGAAAACAATTGCGCGTGGAACATAGAAAATGGTTTCGCCCATAAGTAGGCCTCTAGTGTAACTCGAAAAATGTTAACTTAAACATGCGTATGCCCAGAACGAACGTTGTGTAATGCCGTTAATAACACGACTTTTCCTGACACCATAAAAATGTTGAAGCGAACAAGTTGTCTCTTTCACTGAGAATCAAGCGGGGACTGGAAAGGTAATTCGAGCATGAAATACAAAGAGCCGTTTTAAAATCTTTATCGAAAAAGTATGACTATGATTTTGGTTTTATCTGCAGCACGTACTCTCTCTCGAAGGTCGCGTATATGGTCGTCCTATGACAAGTGTTCGCCATGGTGAATCAGAAATGAAAATTAAGGGCCCCTCATAATAAATATTCGTAAACTTTCAACCTTTATAAACGACTGGTCCTCTTTTAACAGGTGTAGCAATGTTTTAACTATAGAAACAGCTTTGAAGTTCATATCATTGTGTTGTGAAAGTAGTTAAAATAGAGCCTCACTACGCTGAAACGAGGACGGTAAGTCTGACAACATTTGAAATATGCATATGTAATAAGAAGTTAGATTACGAACCATAGTTTTTGCAGGAAAAAATTAAAAAGAATTTCTCATTCTCTCTTTGAAAAAGCCTCCTAAAAATTATGCACATTGATTGGAAATAAGCGTAATTCAGTGAATGTTTTCCCTATTTTCGCAAGGAGATGGATGTTCTCAAAAAAGAAATCAGCATTTTGAGCAAACTTGAACACAAAAGAATCTTGACCTACTATGGCAGCGAAGAAAAGGAAAATCATTTCCAATATTTATTTATGGATTTCATGGAAGCGGTGAGTCGATGAATGCAAGAGAAGTAGGGCAAATTTTGAAGAGAAATCATGTTTGAACCAATAGGTGAGTCAGGACTAGCTATTGAAGACGGAAGCTTCGCTTGGAGTACTGCTTTTGTTTAGTTTCTTTGGTGTTTGCAGACAAATATGCCCACTGGTCTTTGTCGGGTGGAAACGTATTTTCAAGCAAGTTGCTAATTTTGGTTAGAAGTTTGTCAAGATTGATCGATGTTTCTTCCTAAGTTGTATTACTGTTAGAAAGCGAAATGAGAGCCGGTTGAATCAGTCGATAAAATTTAGTCTGACCATAGTTTAGATTGTTGATAAGACATTCCTTAAGCAATGAAAATCATACATACATACATACATACATATACTTTATTTAATCTCGAATATAATTTGGAGTAGCTAAAGGATAAGCTAGTATCTTCGAGTTACAAGTATAATTCTAAATACTACTAAAATGTAAAATTGTAACATTCTAAAATTTAACTGATTTGACACTTGATTTATTCTCTTCTTCTTCATTTTGTCCCTTTCGTCAGTCTTTAAGATAACACCTGTTGGGAATAGGTTAGCCACCAACAACTAAAACTATTTCAAACACAGTTTGAAATCATTAACAGGGATCATTGTATGGTTACCTAAAAATGACGACGTTTTTCAGTGAATGTGAATCAAGAAATTTCACAAGACAAATGTTGGAGGGAGTGTGGTTCCTGCATTCAAAAAAATGTCTTTCACAGAGACATTAAAGGTATCGATCGTTGTTGATGAATATTCATCCACATCCATAATAGCATTAAGAATGAGAGTGAGTTTTAGAAGTCAAATTTAGATCCGAGAAAATTTTCATTCTGGACAAACTATATTTTTTCGGCATCAAGTCTTCATTTTCCGTTGATTATAGAAATAGCAAATTACCACAAAATCTTTGAGAATGTCTCTTTTGTCATTAAATTTCAGACCGCATGGCATCCATTCTCTCCCCTAGACAAACCCCAGTCACCCATTGAACATTTATTGATTATTTCGTTACATCCTTTTTAGTGCTTTTTTTTTATGATTATGTGAATATGGTTATTATGAGGCAACCCTGAATTAACGCTTTTTTTCGCAAAGGATCAAACGTTCTGATTGATCTCCATGGGATCATAAGACTAGCTGACTTTGGCTTGCTTATCAAAATTTATTCAGGTAAGATGCAGACTTTTTAAGTCAATGAAAACCCTTCAAGTGACTGAAAACGTTTGTAAACAGTAGTTCCACACGAGGTATGTCGTAAGAATTTTTCAACACTCCAGGTAACTAAGATTTCCAAGCAAACTTCAAATTGGGTTGAAAACTGGAGGAACTGAATATAGAAGAACGTAAACTCTGAATAATGATGCATCTCATTAGTCAGTCAGTCTTGAGAATTCCTCACTAGTTGGAATTTGTGTGAAATTAGCTTTCCTCAGACAAATGAAATAATTGTTCAATTGTTATTTTTATTCGGATCCATTGGAAAAGAATTTAAAACTGAAGTGGTATTTTTCTGAACGATGTTCTCTTCATGCGACTGAGTCTTTAAAGTATTTATACTCGTTATCGAAATTTCGCTTTTTTTACTTCAGAAAATCGGAAGCAAAACAAATCTTGTTTCTCAATGTGGCACTCCTCACTGGATGGCACCAGAGACATTTTGGGGAGAAGGATATGGAAGGAAAGTTGACATCTGGTAGGTTTGAAAGTCAGCAGCATAATTTGTTTGGTTTATTTATGTTTTTGAGATTGTCAAAAAGACGGGTGAAGAAAAACTGGCAAGAGACTGTAAAAAAATAGTGACGAATCTGGGAAATTTCGTCCCTCCACTCGCTTGGTCACCTTTAACAACCAAAAAAAGGCTAGATTCCCAAAGTAAGCAATTTTTTAGCATTAGCTCCTATTCATTTTGTATGCTCTTGTCGTATTTCCATGCAAATAAAGTTTCGTTCATCTTTCATAAAGGAGTGTTGGTTGTACGGTCGTGGAAATGTTGACCGGACGTCCTTCTCCGGGTCACCTAGATCCAACAGCGGCCATGTTTAGTATTGGATCTAAACCAACTGAGCCAACACTGCCAGAGGATGTATCACAGGATGGAAGGGATTTTATTAAGGCCCCACTGACTTGGTTTGTATCAATTTAAACTGATCAGAACGGCATAACTCGATATCAGGAGCGCTAATGGCTCCCGTCATTGTACTGCATGGTGAGGCTAGATCTGACGGTACCTGTACGTATGCAAAATATTTTTCAAATTCATGACCGTTCATAGCGCCTTAATCTCCCTCGATATATTGCACCTGCTTATCGTCCCCGTCACCCATGGGGGGCGGGTGGGGCCGAATTTTTGCTAAGGGAAGCTCACAGATACGGAAAGTTAGGTTTGAATTGCAGGGATTGCTTCCATGCGATCACAAAACATTAATTTAACTCTGTTTACTTTAAAGCACTAATTTTGTAGAAAAGCAAATGTGCATGCTTACCACGAAACAGTTTACAGCAAGGCTGAATAACGGTTACAGTACGCGTGACTCACATAGAAAGGTACAGCAAAACGGAAATTTCATCATCGAGCCCAAAGCAAGTAGTTTGAAGGAGAAGGATAATCTCGTCTTTTTCACAGTTAAACTTAGTGGCGAAATCATGATCAATGCCTGTGAAACCCTTCAGACTTGCTGCATACGATTGATCACTAGTGTAAAATAAGCTCATCCGAAAATCTAACTACCTAATCAAAAGTAGAACCCAGAGTTACAAGTTACTTTAAAATAGTTTTCTGTGTCACCCTTACGTTTACTGCATAAAAGATATTTTAAGTTGACTTTCCTGAAACACCAACATCAACTGATCTTGTGAGTTATTCTTTTTCTTCTCTGGGCATGCGTTCCAATTCATTTATGGTTCTGTTCAAAGAGATCATTTAAGATAAGAGATAGGTTATTAGATTGTGTATATTCTTCTAGATATCAGACTGGATAGGAGGCAACTGCTTCACTTTGCCCGAGCTAATCCCGGTTTCGTTTGAAATAATTAGCCAAGATTAATTAACACCATCTGGACACCATGTTGGTCTATCGGTTAACCGCCGTCATCGTCACCGTCACAGTCATCCCTATTTTTCTCATTGTAATTATCGGCATCGTCATTGACATCGTTAACGTTATCGTTACGGTCATCGTTATTGTCATCGTTATCCACATCGTCTTCGTTATCGTTATCGTTAGCGTTATCATAACCTTGGGCCTCTCGATTCGGAGTGGAAACGTTAACCATTTTGACTATGATATTTAGTACAGTATATTGTCTTGAGTCTTAAGGAAATTTGAAGCATTCCACGAAACCAAAGAAGTAACAATTCTGTTAACAAGTGGTAAGTTCTTCTATTTTTAATGTTTGTTCACGCTAGATATTAACCAACGCTCAGATGTTTAAGCTGGGAGCTTATTTTAGCCGTGATGTAAAATTGGGAGCTGGTAAATTCATGAGACTTGTTTCAGACAAAAATGTTTTTTAAGCCAGAAAAAGACGCAGGCTGTTTTGGTCCCTCAACAAGCCCTCCCGCAAAGTTAAGAGCTACTATGTTAACTAACCTTATAAGCTCTTCGATCATGGTAGGGTCATCCAGAACCCTTTGCATTTTTTGACACTCTTCCAAGCAAGCTTTTGCATCCTTGAATTCTTCCTTCCTTTTGTAAACCATCCCAAGGTCAAACAAAGACTTAGCGGTGTCGTAATGGTCTTTCAGCAGCTCACGACGAATCTTCAGTGCTTCCTCTGAATATTTTTTGGCGATGTCGTTCTCACCAAGGGCAGAGTAGTTGTTGGACAGATTGTTTAGGATGGTTGCTGTAAAGGGATGCCGGTCTCCTAAGTGTTTTCTGTAAATTTCCAACGTCTCCTTTTCTCTCACCTTAATGGATTCTTCATGGTTTCCCTCAAGGGAGAGAGCCACTACAAAAAAGGAAAAAAAAATTCAAACTCTTGTTTTCTGGAAGCAGAAAAGAAATATGTTCTATGATAAGGAAACAAGTTGAAACATTTTTTTCGAACTGATAATGGTTAGGGCGAGCTTATTTTACTATCGGGGGCGAACTCGCAAAGGTGGGAAGGGTAAAACTCTCTAAATCAGACAAATTTGTATATAAGGCTCAGTGGAATTTCCTGTCGGCTGATTCAGCTTAAACAGAAAATTTAAGTACTACACCTAACCCACCTGCTAGGTCATTGTATGTTGCGCCTTGCATAACAATGTCTGCTTCCCCACGTGCCTTTCGCATTTCGATCGCCTGTTGAATCTTTTCTTTTCCTTCAGTGAAGCTGTGTTCCTTTACCAGACACCGACCAAGTTTGGCGAGACATTGAGCTCGACTGTTACCAGTGGTGATACCAAGGTCACTCTGGATTCTATCGGCCTCCAACAGATACGGCTTGGCTCGTCCAGCTGCTTCATCGCACAGGTCTGGAGAACAGCAACAGCTGAACACTTCCCTGATTCCCAGAGAAGTGAGACATTCACTCAATCTCTTTTGATCTTTACTTTCTTTGCACTTATCTTTTACTGATGTGAAGGCACGGTCAAATGTTTTCTTTCCCATCATTTTGGCAAGCAGTTCTCCCACCTTATTGAAGACATCGATGCACCTCTTCTCTTGATCTTCCCCCATGGCACCATTTTCGCCTAACCAATCGATGAGCTGCATAATAGTTTCGTCTTCGTGTCGGTATGCCACGATAGCGTTTGAGACATCAGTGCTCAGGAAGCTCTTGAAGGTTTCTTCAAGGAAAGCAAGAACGTAATTGATGAACATCTTTCGAGCTTCGGAAAACACTTCACGGAAACGTGCTTCTTTTATCTTGTTCTGGCAGTAGAGGCTGTATACTGTGAGGATACTGTAATGATAGGAGTTGGACATGTGCTGTTCCAGGAACGACTTCCTTGCCAATTCTTCTATCGCACCCCTTAACTCAGCAGACTTAAGGATTCTTGAAGCTCTTGAAATGGTGAAGAGACCTCTGAATACTGTTAGAGACACAAGGGTATTTTGGTGGTGTGTATTTAGTCTGTTGAAGCAAACGTCGATGCAAACGTCTATCTTCTCATCTTCAGTTGCATCTGAAATTCTGGCAAACTTTTCTTTACGATTTAGATTCGTCAGCATTTCCAGAAGATCTGATGGGTTATCCTGCCACGCGGCCAAGGCAAACAGGACGAATGGAATACCGCCACAACAATGGGCTATTTTGCGGGCAGTTTCTTCTTGCAGAGGGGTGTCACCATAGATCTTCTTCAACAACTGAAATGAATCATCTTCATTGAAAGGAAGCAACCTTATGCACCGTTGACCAGCCTGAAGGATATCGACATTCTTCGTTGAGGTCACCAGCAGATGTGCTCTTTTTGACTTTGCCGCGATATCTCTGACGAACTTCATGATCTCTGTGTTTTCAGATGGAAATTTTCTTTCAACTTGTACCCCCATGGTTCTTTCCTTGTCCAACGGAGTTAAGAATTCCAAGTTATCGAGCAGCAGTAGAGAGTGGAACTTCTCCTCTTCAATGAGAAGACTTCTGATCTTACCAATTGGCGGCTCGCTCAAAGGGAAGTGGTACAGCTGTTTGACAATTTTTCCGGCAAGGTCATCAAGGGAGGTCACAAACCTGCAGTTTACGTACGCAGCTACGATATCGAAATTGGCATTTAGTATCTCGAATGCAGCCTTGATTGCAGTTGACGTTTTCCCCATACCGACAGGCCCAAGTAATAGGGTGCATCTACAGTCGTTCTCTGGCTCGTCCTTACAAAAGGACTGTTTTATCTCGCTGAGTTCTCTCTTTCGGCTGACGAAATGTCTAATAGGACTTGGTAGAAAAGACATACCGCTACGGAAGTCTGAAAAATAGGAAATTATGTATTTTTCGTTATCCACGTCTGTGTAACCCCAGATTTTTTGCGACATACGTCTGTCGTCATGGTACTGGAACAATGTTGTCGAGAAGCTTATCTTCCGTGTCGTGACTATTTCTTAACGGCTGCTATCCAGTTTTTTTTCTTTCTCATTTCTCACTTTTAACCCATCCATTTGAATTATCGTACAGATCTAAGTTGTTCTTTTGGTTTTTATTTGTTCAAAGATGAGTTTTTCAGTGCAGAAATCGGGTAAAATTGCGTGACTGGAAATTTATCACTATTCTTGGATTTATAAAAGATACAATTTAATACCTGTGGGATGCGGAGAGGGTATGTATTCCTCTTCCCTGCAAACTTCTTTTTGTTCTGCTTCTCTTTCGTCAAGGTAATCAGAACCTGGTAAAGACGTCACAAGTAACAAATAAATGGAAGCAGATAAGACTTGCGTCTATGAGGATCTACAAACCGAAGACAGTTGAAGGTCAGAAAATAATTTTTTTCCCCATCACCCCACTCAACAGCAAAGACCGAATTTTCCTCCATATCACTCGACACCGGCCTCATTTAAGACCCTCACGTTAGGAGTAGACGCACTTGAGAAAAATAATACAAACAAATGCAGTTAGCTCTCAAATATTAATAGAAACTTCGGTGGCTTTGTCACACTCGGCCTGGACAATATTTATTTATTACTTAGTTCTTATTAACCGAGCGGGAGGTCTGTATGGGAGAATCTTGACCGAGGTCGCCTGTACAGACCGAACGCAGTGAGGTCTGTACCAGCGACCGAGGTCAAGATTCTCCCATACAGACCGACCTAGCTCGGTTAATAAGATGTTTATTATTTGGCTGTCTTATATGCAAATTTTATTATATTCTTTGTACCTTTTTTTTCTAGACCAGTCTAGATGCCGGTCTAGATGGGAAAATCTAGACCGCTTTCAATATTGATTTCAGTAAATCAAATTCGTGAACTCGGTAGTTCCCAGTCCTTGTGAGACAGCCATATAATAAATGTTAATAAAATCCCTTAAATTTATATCAAACAACATTTGGGAGTCTGATCTAGAATCCATTTCCCCTAACACTTAGCCATATAAGGTAAAAAGGAATGCACATGACCTTCATTAAAGCAACTGGTAATTAGTTTCACACCTGCACATTTGGTAAAGTGCCTCCGACATTCTCGGTAATCTTCCTCCAAAATAGTGATTTTGAGTTTTACTTCAACGAGTCCAAGATCCTCCAGCATTCTCTCAGTCACGAGGAATTCTTGAGCAACTTCACCGAGATGACCACTCGAGTAATCTTGCCAGAGTCGTTCTAGAATTTCCAATGAGGTGCACTTGACTGTCAGTACCAAACTACCGCGGTTGACATTTACAATAGGGACTTGGTTAACATCTTCGAGATGTTGAACAAATTGGTTTTCCTCATTTACTGACGGATCAAAATGTCGAGATAATTCCGAGACTATTCTTTGTATGAGCTGCGGAACAATTGTGCTTGTCGCAGTCGCAGGAGGTTCGTCAGCTGAAGCAGTTGGCGGTACATGAAAGGACACCATCATCGCCGGAGGCTCCTCCGGAGAGCTGCGACTTGTCGTGGCTCTGACATCGATGATAATACGGATAGAAGCTGTAGTGAGAGGAATTATCCGAGTCAGAATGCGTAACTATAACAACTTTTGAACGTTGATCTGGATCGATTTAAATAAATTAATGGCGAAGTAGACTATGCAATTCAATATTCAAAGTATTTCTTATGGTAAAAAAAGACCTCTTCGTTAAACTGACCTCCCGCCAATGAAGGGTTAGCCCGACTCGTCACCACTTCACGAAGCTGTTCAAATTCATTCGTCTGGTCTTGGATTTTTCTTTCTAATCTGTCACAGGAACTTTGAACTTGCCTCTCCACTCGAGCTAATCCTGCATCTAGATATTCTTTTGTGTCCATGTCCTTGTGATACCATTTCTGTAGTTCCTCGGCATTCCTTTCAGCCTCTGGAGTTAAGGGATCATGCCGCAACCTTTCGATTGCTTCTTCCCATTCATGGCTTGCTTCTGCGCTGATAAAGGAAGCAATACGTAGGAGGGACATTTTGATTTCATCCCAAAGGGAACAAAATTCTGCATTACTCAACTCTGCTCGGTGAAACTTGTGGATAATATCATTGCGGTAGAACTTAATTCTGACGATGTCCGCAGTCAAGCTTAAATCACGTTTACTTGGGGGACTATCCCATCCACTGGGCAAAGGAGGTAGTTGTGTCTGACAAAGAATTTTTAAAAGTGTAGAAAGAAGGCTTATGTCAAAGTTTCTCGATTCTCCACACAATCCTGATGGTGGATAAACAAGATCACGTTGAGGCTTGAGGAGAGCGTTGCATAACTTTCGCCTGGTACCGGACTCACTCAGTTTGTTTCCAAGACTACTTGGTGGATAATAGACGTCTAACAGTGCTCGGAATAACTCGGTACCAGCACGAATAATCAGCCGGAAAAGACGCTGATAATTCTCTTTTTCATCTGTTGAACGGAGCGCTTGAGTAGCTGTGGCAGAAGCGGTCGCCATTTCGCTAGTGCGTCTCTGAGAAGGAAGTTTCAGTTCTTCTGCAAAATAAACACTGCACTTGGGTCGTTACAACATATCAGCGGTTCCGATCTTCCTGCCAAAAAAGTTTTAAAAGATCCTGAAATATTCTTTGATTTGCAATTTGGTGTCAATCGAGAAAGAGCCGTAGGATAAAGTTTTCTAAAGGAAAGTCCTTACTTTTTCATAACTGGTCCCCTTCGTTAAATCCTCTTCTAAATTCACAGAACGTACGTGAAACAAGAAATTTGCTTCACCCAACGCTACTTTAGTAATACCAAGGCAAACAATACATTGATAATCAAAAAATTAAAAATGTTAACAGAATTGCTGATTTTCACATGACATCTTCAAATTAAAATATTCAAGAATATAGAGCCACGAAAATTTTATCTTCATCAGGTATGGGGGGGGGGGTCTAAAGTTGTAGCTATTTTCAACATTTTCAGCTCAAAAGGGTGCTTGGTTTGGAAACCAGCGCAATTTGTAGTTCAGAATTATGGTCAGTGGGTTGTGTGACTTACAGCTCCGATCGCGTTTGTTGAAAAATATAGATCTATCTGTTGATTTTTAGTCTTTTTATGAAATTATGCCTTCGAAAAAGTGTTTTTCTACATGTTTGTTGGTTTAGCTTAGATAATCAGTGGGCTGAATAGCCAAAGTAAGTTCCAGATGTTTTACATTATTTCCGGCCGCCCAGTTAGTGGACCAAAGTTACTCACCAACATTGCGGCTCTGTAAATTTGCGTAAAACATTTCGACGACTATCTTAAGTTTGGGAAAACAAAGAGACCTAACACTTGGAGAAGTTTTTCCTTAACATATCTCCTATAACATTACAATTGCGGAATCTTACATCTCCGTGCTAAAAACTACAGTTATATGACATATATCTTTTTATTAAAAACTAGATCATGGGATAATGCAATTCAAGACTTTTTATTGGCTTAGCCATTATGGTATATCAGCCAATATACCATAATCTACAAATATGATAAGCGTACGTGTCAGCTTAAAATTAAAAGGGAGCTAAGAATTTAATAAAATTTAATAATGTAATTTAACGTTTTTAATAAAATAATTATTCCACTCGCGCTTGTTGGATATGAGATGATTATAGCCAACTCGGCACTACGCGCCTCGTTGG